CATTGTTTTCTCAAGACCTAAATCTGGTGCATTGATAAGTATGTGAGGGAAAGATCTATCTCCCTATTTCCTATTATATATTTTTTATTTGCTCTTTATTTATAAGAAATAGAGGGAAGGGGAGAGGGAGGAGAAAGAGAAGGGATGAAAAAAGGAATTAAGATGTCTTATGTAGATGTACTAACTCCTCACAAGGAATGTAAACATTATGTACTGCAAACATTGAAATGTTATTCAAACAAATAAGTATGTGAGGGACAGAAGAATGAGTTCACCCTCAAAATGCTAGTATCATTGATAAATTGCTCTGAGAAGAGCATTCTAGAAGTGGGGTGCTAGTTATTAGGGAGTGACTAGGAACGGGAACTTTAGTAGCATTGAGAAAGTTTTGAGATTTGTTGTGGGAGAATTTTATTTTTTGTTAGTGTAAACACCTTTCTTCTCAATCCTGGTGACAATGTCCAGGCTTTGCACTATGACTTCTCTATTAAAAATCTTCTCATGGAGCCCTCCATGCAGCAGAAATTATTTTCATCATATATGGCTCAACAGGATGTATGTTAGTACCAAGATTTATTGAATGCTTAGGATGTACTAGGCACTATCCTGAGAACTTTATGTGTGTTAGTCTGATTAATTCTCATGACAATCCTATGAGGATGTAATGCTATTATCCTCATTCATTGGAAGAGTCAGGATTCTAGTCAGCCTGACTTCAAAGCTACTGCCCTTAAGCTGTGCAACACCACACTACAACATTCCCCCAGCCCCTTGGGAAAGAATCTCATGGCTTCTCCTTGCATTTGCAAGTGATTTTGTTTTATTTCATTTATTGGATATATGACTAAGGAACATTGAATAGAATTTCAAAAATACAAGCACCGGTGGTTGATGGCTAACCCATTTACTTTTCATGTTTAGAAATCTTTCAATGACTGGCTCATCTGTCCAATGCTCTTTTCTCCACTCTGCCTATCTGCCTCTGGGCTTTATCAGACAGGACAAAGACAATGTTCCTAGAGTCTGATGCTTGTAAACACTCTTCCATCACCCTAGTCATGGCAGTCTGCCAAGATAGGAATGAGGCCAAATTTGGTGTATCCTTCAGCACGGTGACCCTGGTTGAAACAGTCCCCTGATGCAGCAAAAGAAGACCAAAGAAAAATGTGCTGTCCTACAAAGTCCAAAGCCTGGAATGATTCAGTCTCCTGATGCAGATGGTGATTTATCACTGGATGCCAGTCATTTATACATAGCTGTCAGCAGCTTTGCAGGAATTTGAATCTGAACACTTGTCCTGAACATGTGATTCCCTAGCTACTTCCTTACGGTCCCAAACTTTCAGAGATTTTCTAACCATACTCTCCTGGTCACTCCTCTTAGTACTTAGCAAGAAACCCTTTTTAAAAAATGTTAAATATTCTGGGGATCTTGGACAACTCCCTTACCTTCCCTGAACTGCAGCTTTCTTAGCCTTAAAAAGCAACAATTGAACCAGCTGACTTCAAAGATCCCTCTGGCCCTAAAATTTTGTGACAAGATGTGTTTGAGGAATCTCTTTGAAATAGGAAAAGGCTGATTTTCTGTTTCTTTTTGGTACCAGGAATCGAACTCTGGTCCATGTGCTTGCAAGGCAGGTGGCAGAACCACTGAGCTAAATCCCCAGCCCAGTTTTCTATCTCTTAAAACCTGGCTGGTTACCTGTACCCTAATGGTGCCAGAGGAGTCAGGTGGACACTGTGTGTATCCTCCGTCCACTGCACTCAGACTACTAGCATACCTCGGAAACTATTCTTGCTCAGTTCACCAGCGGTTTATCTTTTTTTCAAAATTCAGTAAGCATTTATAATGTAATAGAAAAGTAAATTACATAAGCAGTATGCAATGTATTCTTATGAAAAAATAAAAAAATGGAATTATGTAGCGATACACACACACACACACACATATATATGTATATTTAGGAAGCCATGTATATATGTAAACATTTACAGATATTGGAGCATTACTCTAATTGTTTTACTTTTGTTTTGTTTTTACAGAAATGAGATCAAATAGACCACATTACATTGTAATGTGTGTTTCTTTTTCTTTCTTTTTTTTTTTTTATTTGTGGTACCAGGGATCAAACTCAGGACCTTATACTTGCCAGGCAGGTGTGATGCCACTCAGCTACATCCCTGGCCCAGTAATGTGCTTTTCAATTGAGTACTTTGTCTTGGAGTTCTTTACTACGTTGCCCCATGTAGTCTTTCTTTTAATGTGGACACATGTTTTGTTTACTTCTTTTTTAAAATGACTTTTCCACTGATAGATATTTAATTTGCTTCTAGAATTTTGCTATCACAAAAGAAAAATGCTGCTATAAACTCATAGTTTTCCCACTTATTTGACAATTTCTCAATATCTAGAAACAAAACTCTTGGGTTTATAGTAATGTATATCTTATTCTTAAAAATTCTGCCAAATTTTCTGTTGATATGATAGTACCAGTGGAAATAATCATTTCCCTATATTCTTATGGATCTTCCATTGTTTTTTAAAATTACACTTTCTTCATTACTAGCAAGGTTGAGCACTTTTACATATGTGTTTAGTCATGTAAATTTCATTCATGGATTGCCTATTTATACCTTTTGTTTGTTTTTAAGTGTAGGTTGCCTTTTTTCTTTCCAACTCATGGGAGCGTTAAAAAATTTTTTTTAAAAATGAACTTATGAACTCATCACCTAACTTCAGTATTTTCTAGTCATGGCTAGGACTAGAAATTTCTAGGATATTTTCCAAGGAAATTTCCAATATCACAATATTTCACTTGTTAATATTTTATTAAGTAAGCCTAGAAGATTAACAGTCTTTAAAATATCAACAATATTATCCTCACATATAAAAAGAAGGATAATTTTATTAATATCAGCAAATATCCAGTGCTCATATTTCCTGCATTAGTTCTCACATTTAAAAAAATAAATACCTTAATGTTATCAAATATCCAGGCAGTGTTTAAATATCCTCTCCCCGCTCATAAATCTTTTTTAACAATTTGTTTGAATCAGGATGCAAATAAAGTCCATAAATTTTAATTAATTAATATGCCCTTTAAGCTGCTTTTAATTTATAGGTTCCTTCTCTCATTTGTTGAAGAATTTGGTTGTTTTTCCTGTGGAGTTTCCCACAGCCTGGATTGTGCTGATAACATCTGATGGTATCATTTAACATGTTGCTGTGTTCCATGCAATTGCAGTTAGATCTAAATCTTGATCAAATTCAGGGTTGATGTTTTGTCAAGAACACTTGAAAGGTTTTGTTGTGAATTTCCAACAAGACTGTGTAATTCTACTATATCTCTGTGAGGTTAGCAGCCAACCGTGATTGGATCATCTGGCTCCACTCAGAAAACAGAAACCACACAGTAATTCAAATATCAGAAGTTAAATGTAGACAATTATTAACATTAAATAGGAGAGTAGCTATGAAGACATGAAGAGACCCTTATAAAGTACCCTAAGTTGGAGAATATTCATGAAAAAACAACTGAAAGGGGGCTCTCTCCCCTAGAGTTCTGACTTTGTTGGGGAGTGAGCTGGGGGTACACTGAATAGTACTTGAGTCCCCTGGACTGAGCTAGGCCACAGACACCAGGCAAGAGGAGAGAACCAGAGGGGTGGAAGCAAGTTGAGGCTGGTAAGTGAGAACCACACACATCCAACAGGTGGAGGGCCTGGTGTGCAGCATTCATGTTGGGGAGACAGTGGGAAACAGAGCCCTGGGGCATAGGTCCACTGAGGCTCTAGGGGAGTGCCCAGGAGAAGTTGAGGCTTCCCTGATTGTGAGGCCTGGAGCATAACAGTGTCCATATCACATGGGCTGAAGCAAGGTGGTTCCTGGGTCTAGGCTTGGATTCTGAGACTTTTGGGGACTCCATTGTCTAAATATATGGCTGGGACAGTAGATGTCCTAGCACACGTGCTTCGGTTGAGAGGCCTTGAAGTAGGAAATAAGAACAAAGGTCTGAACTCCAGAACCAGGAATAAAAAAAAAAACCCTTCGTCCATCAGTATCCCTCCAGTGCCCTCTACTGACAAAGCTTACATTGTGGCATTGTAGAGCAGACATGCTTAGAGTCCAGTTCATTATCTCAAAGCAACTACTGAAGGGTAGATTTGGAGCGGAGGGACAATAAATTAGTAACTGGAATAATGATAATTGTCTAGTTCCATTGCATATTTCATTGGATGTTGCACATTGATAGCATTCTAATTCTATCCATCTTTGTATATTAGCTGGAATGCTTCTAGAGAGACACATTTTCACATTTTTGAGTGTTTTGAGTACAAAAACCCCTTTGCCACTTTTTTCCTCTACTTACGTAGCTAGATCCTTAGGGTTCCAGTACTTTCTGAATCTTTTCATTTATTTATTTATTTTTAGACAGAGTCTTCCTATGTAGTTCAGGTGGCCTCAGTCTCCCTCAGTGTTCTGAGTGCTGGGATTATGGGTGTGCTCTGCCATGCACAGCTACTTCCTGAATCTTGACTCTGCCCACAAATTCCTTGAGCAGGATGTATGGTGGAGCTTTTCTTTCATATCTCATGGAATCCTCACAACTGCCTTATGAAATGAGTGTTGCTGTTAGTATTTTACAGATAGGGAACCTGAGGCTTAGAGAGGTGAAATATGTACTTCCTGTACCTCAGCTGGTGACAGGAATAGCTGGGATTAGAATGGGAGGCTGCACAACCAAATCATGAGTGCTGGCTGGCTCAGGAAGACTCAACTTCAAACTCTTAGCTTCTCATTTCTATTATTTTTCCAGATTTTTAGGTCATTAAACAATTTTTTTTTTTTGCATTATTCCCTCCTAGCATCACCACTGAAAATTCCCAGTCTCTCTTGCAGGTTCTTCTCTGCCAATGTCCTATCCAAGTCTCTGTCTAGGAGGGTACTTCTTCTCAAACATCCTTATACTATTTTATTGCAGTTTATTTTTCTGTTCCCAGGTTGGTGGCACAGACACCTCCCTCTTCCCTAGTTGAAGATACTGTTTTCACCTTCTCCACTCCCCTACACACAGAAGAGAATGAGGATGCAGGTAAGGGTTTCCCTTCCCAGAGGCAAGCATGCTGCACAGGAGTTGTGAAGAAGAAAATAAACAACTGTGGAGCCCGGCATCAACATACTGGCTCTTTTCATTTTTCACTTCAGGAAATCATGGGCCAGCTGTGAAGTTCTGATCATTTCAGCTGTGTATTTTTCTTTTTCTCTCTTGTTCTCCAGTTCGTCCTCCCTCCTCCAACTCATTGCTCCTTTTCCTTTTCTCCTGGATCATCCTCTCTACCCAGAGTTCCCACTCCCACCTCCTGATCTTCCCACCCCCTTCACTCTTTCCTTTTGGTCCCTGGCCTCCTCTCCTCCTTGCTTTCCTTCCTTCTGCACAAGTTTTACTGGCAAAATCAATTACAAAAACAAAAGAATGGGGAATAAGTAAATAGCTGCCTACCCTCACTTGGAAGTCCTGAGGAAGCAGCTTCCTTCACCTCCATTGAAAGAGTCTTGTATTTCAAAATATTTGGCTCTCATTCAAGGCCAGTCACAGAAGCCATGGAGTCATTGTTTTGAGATGAAGGTAAATCCAAGTAGTTTCTATTTTTAAATGCAACTGTGTTTCTGGAAAAGGCTGTACATCACATAATAGGAAATCCTGAGAGTGTGAAGACTGTTTCCTGCCAGCTGAAGCATTATTGTCTTTGGCTGTTCTGACCATACTAGAAACCTTTGAATAAATGGACAAAGATGCAGGCGCAAAGGAGGAAAGAACTGGGCTAATGAGAAAGTGAAGTATGGAGTCAGGGAAAGTAGGATTACCAAGGAAGCAAGAGCAAGTTAAGTTGCAGAACCCATTCAGAGGATGAGACCAAAATGGGATGGGATCATTGACTATGACAAGGCATTGCCAATTCGGTATGTGCTGTTTATTGTTAAAAAAATGATCCACAACTAAGTGGGTATCTAATTGATGCAGCTGGAGGATAATGATGACAGTTGTTATGGTTTAAATTTACATGCCCTCTCAAAACCTCATATGTTCAGAGTCAGGGCTTTGAAAAGTGGTTGAATTATGGGGGCACTACAGCTAAGTGATATTAGGAGGTGGGGCCTGGTCAGAGGAGGTGGGTTACTGAGGGTGTAACCTGGAAGACTATATCTCCCTTCCCAGCTCCTCCCTTCACCCTTTCCTTTCTTCTCCCATGGTGTGAGCAGCTTTTCTCTGCCCAGGCCCTTCCACCATGACTTCCTACTCCACAGCTAGCTGTTTTTAGACTAAAAAATGCAAGCAAAAATAAACCTCTCATCCTTTAAGTTGCAGGTGTTGAGTATTTTGTCCCAGCAATGAGAAAAGTGACTTAAGACAATACTCCATGGTGATGATGGGGCAGTGTTGACATTGTTGGAGAGCCATAAGTTCATTTATTTTAAAATAGGAATGTTTTCTGCTACAGAACCTTTAGACATAAGAAAGTAGAGGTTCTTTGGCTTGAGAGGTAATGGATGGTTCTAGAGAAAAGCTTCATCTTGTTAAAATGCAGATTCCCATTTAATAAATCTGGGATGAGTGGTCTTGTATTTCTAACAAACCCCTACATGAGTTCTCCTAGCTATCCAATGTAGGCATATTCTTTATACACTCATGGACTGAGGCATCTTTTTTTCTACTTTATGTTCAATGACTTCACATTGGTGATTTGAATTGGCCATGGTAGAAGTATGTACAACATAAAAACTAGCAAATGCAAATGTATCCATCAGGCCCTTTTCTTTTTCTATCCTTTTCTCCTTCTTTTTGGAGATCTGGTTTGCGAGCATACTATAAGAATGAGAGAATGACCACATCGTGGTTCACAAACCCATTGTCTTATTTTGGGCCATTTATCATGGTTCTTTGTGCTCCATACTAATGGGCCTATGGTGGTGTTTTGGGTTCTTTGTCATCAGTATCAACATGGATCCTACATCTAACAGCCCCCAAAAGATCTACGTAATCCCTTTTCCCCAGTGTGGAATCACTGAGGTCGATGATTAAGGGAATCTTGTGGGGAAGAGGTTGGGGGAAAAGCTACTATATACACAGAGTCCACCAAAAAATGTATACACGCCTCAGGAAAAGAGAAACTTGTATAAATGATTTAATATTAAATTTATTGAGACATCATGAGATTAACACAAGTTACCTTTGGCCTCTACAATTATAAGAGGTGCTCAAAATGGTGGCCATTAGCTTCCAGACATTTATTAGTACAGCAAACTGCTGCTTGGGAAACCTTGGTCATTGAGATTGCTGTGCATGCATTTTCAATTTGTTCCCTAAAGCCTGGCAGTATAGTGGGTTTCTATGATACAAGACACACTCTAGGGCCTCCAATAGTTAAAAGTCTGTAGGTGTTAAATCAGGGAAACGTGTACCTTATACAAGTTTTTCTTTTCCTGAAGTGTGTATACTTTTTTTGGCAGACTCTATTCAGTGATGGCATATATAACATCCCTCTTCAAAGGAACCTGGCCTCCTCTTCAATCAATGAGCTCTGGACCTTAGGTCCAACTCACATCTGAAAACCAGGTGAGAGATCGTGAATTTTTATCATTACAGTCAATACCAGGGCTCTGCTCACATGCTCCTGAGTTTTGGGTTATATAGGTCAAACAATACCCTTATAGGCTGCCCAAGATCTCACCTTCCAGAACACCTTGGCCCCCGCTCCTAACATCACTTAGCTGTAGTGCCCCCATAATTCAACCACTTTTCAAAGCCCTAACTCTGAACATACGAGGTTTTGAGAGGACATGTAAATTTAAACCATCAATAAGGTCTACCTTATTCAGCTGATTTTCTGTCCCTGTGAACTCTGGCTCAATACTCCCAAGATCCATTCTGGATCCATATCGTCTCAGTTCCTGCTTGTACTTATTAGCCAGGTCCTGTGGCTCTTCTGCTGAGTGATCTTTTTCTTCTCATAGCAGGGATGCCACTTCCCTATCCAAGTCTTACTATCACTTACCAGGATTATTGGTATAACAGTAAAGAAGAGAGTCAGGACCAGATTTTCAGGACAGGAAACATTGTCTAGTGAGGCACCACTCAGAGGCACCTTTTTCAAAACTCTGGGTAAAGGATGGCTGCTCTCCTCCAGCAAGGGGGAGAGGGCTACTTCTGCCAGCTTGGAGGTTCTCAGGAATGTGGAGGTTCAACATTCTCAGGGACATCACTTCAAGTTCTCCATCTTGGGTGTTGGCAGTTCCCTTTCTTATCAGGGACTTCACTTCCCCATGGGACACCTGCCAGGGCTGTGAATTCAACTTCCCTCATTACTCTAACATTAATAGCCAGGATAGACCAGACTTTCTTTATGACCTGCCCTCCAAGTGCAAGAGATGAGATTTGTTAAACTGCCACATAGCCTTCTGGCCTTTAGTCTGTGTTCTAAGTTGATTATCAGCTGATCTGATCCTGTTACTTTCTTCTTTATAATTTTAATTGTAGTTAAGAACAACTCATAAACGAGGCTTTTGCCACCATATCTCTACAGTGCCAGCACTCTTCCCTCTTGCTTCACTGCAAATGAGAATCTCACAGGAACTGACCTGCAAAAGAGTAAGATGAAAAATGTTCAGAATGTTTCAAAACTCCACTTGACACTAGCAGTAAGGTCTTGTTCCCATTGAGCAGGTGAGTTCTCCAGTTCCAGAATCATGCCAAGCCACTCCTACCCAGGACCACTTTCAGCACTATCTGATTCGTCCTGAATCAGACCCTAACACAAAGATTTGAGTACAAGTAGTTTATTTCCAAATGGATTTCAGGACACAGTAGGAGAGACAGGGAAAAGTAGAAAGTCAATGAAGGGTGTGTATCAAGCAGGAGACTTTATGCCACACTGGGACTTCATGGCCCTGGGAAAACAGGCAACACTCTAGAGCATCCCTCAGTTATCCTGAAGGAGGAAACAGTGAGGATCCTAGCACAAATAACTCTACCATGAAGATAGGAGCAAAAAGCGGCTTTTAACGATACCGCTGGCTCAGTGAGTAACTCTTGTCAGTCTTCAGAGTCCTGAATAAAAGTTTGCACTTTCTTATATACCTCTTTTTACATCTACAAAGCTTAATTCCATTGGAGTTTCCCTGGGAATATATCAAGCAGGACTTACACAAAGCAAAGCAGTGGAGGGAGGGAGAGCAAAGAGTTCTGGCAGGACTTTCTGAGTTCCTTCCGCTCCTTTGGTGACATTACAGAAGTTGTCATGGCTGCTCAGGTACATTCTAGAAAGATCATAGTCGCCTAGTTAACCCATAGTTGCCTAATAACACAGTTAATCCATAGTCGCCCAATTTCATATGGAGGGGTGGTCTCCTCTCTCAATCCAACCCCCAGGAGTGAGGAAGTTGGTGTATTTATCCACATATCATCTACTTTGTCTGAGGGCTGCTTCTGGACACATTAGTTTTGTGCCCAAATAGCCCCTAGCACAGAAAAACCATGAGTTCATAGAAGTAGGCATTGGTATTAGATACAGGTTGGGCAAAGCCAGCCTCTGCTGCAAGCTTGTCCTACAGAACTGAGTGAGATAAGGGCCACCCTACCACAGTGGCAGCGGCAGCCTCCTCCCAGATCCAGAGCAGACCGAGCCCAAATGGGTTGCTTGGAAAGTCCCTTGGGGAAAGACACGGTAGAGGCTAAGTGCTCTTGGTGCTGGAGCCCCTGGCGAGCACAGCTGGAGAATGAGCACATGCTCCAGCATGAACCCCACAAACCAGCTCCCGTACAGTAACACTGTACCCTCCAGGCCACAAGGCCTCATCCCACTGGGGATGACACCCCAGCGAGTGTTACTTTTTGGGGAAGAATTTCAGGCCTAGCTGTAGAAAAGGTACTTTGAAATTATATAGTTTTTGTAGGTCTCTTTGAAATATTATATCAACAATACTATCATTATTATTTTTAAAATGCTAGCAGCTGTGGCTTACATATCCTGGGGATTTCACAGTGTCAGGCCCTCCTAACAACAGCGAGGACAGCTGAAGGTGGGTATTCTTGGCCTCAGTGTACAGATGAATAAATTCAGACTCCAGGAGGCTAAACGACCAGCTCATGGGGGCAGCGTGGGAGAGGGGCTTGAGCTCAATCTTCTGATGCCCTATCGTTCTGGGCTTGCTCCTAGGCCAGCAATGCCTATAAGTCACCCCTTCTAGTCTCTGTAAAAGAGGACTTTGGTGGCAGGAACATATCTGTTCCATGCTTTCATTCCAGCGGTGTCACATTCAGAGTACTTAATGTTTGTTTGTTAGGCAAATGACATAAAATTCTCTCAGAAGCGTTGCGTAGCCGTGTAGAAGCCTTTGTAAACTCTCCTCTCCCCTCCCAGTAATACTTGCAAGCAACACACACAAACACATGCGCACTCAACACACACACATACACCAATCCTGATGCTTTTTGGAAATTCTCCCAATGGGAGAACCTGAGATATATATGGAATAGTGAGACTCAAAGGAGTCTTCACATTTATTATTGGGCTATCCAAATGGTTCCGTGGGAATGTCTATAGAGTTAGAAGGTAGGATCTGATTAACTATCAACTCTATTGAAGCTGTCCCTGGCAGAATCTGCTCTCCCAGGGTCGGGTTGTCCCTAAAGAAGCCAGCAATAGGTGTGCAGTGACCCGCTAGAGCCACAAGAGGGAGCCAATGATGCAGGGAGCCCCGTTTAAAAGTTTCGCCTGCTGCAGCAAAGACCCCCTAGGTTCAACTGAACCCAAAAAAGGAATCTGGGCTGAGGCACAAGTCGGGGAAGCGGGGAAAAAGGTGGTCTCTGGGGAGCAAAACAGAGAGAGCCTGAGAAAAACCAGAAATGTAGAATAAAACAGAGGGTTGAAACATTTTAATCATATTTATGGAAAAGACAAATGAGTAAGGGGGCTTTTCAACTGTTACTTTGTACTCTGATTTTTGGAGAGAATAAGCATACATTATTTTCACAATTAAGAGTGAATAAACATATATTTAAAGAAAATTTCGAAAAATAAAACAAACAGTGAGCAAAATGATGGAAAAATTCCAAAGTTATTTTGGGGAGTTCTGGGGAAAATGGGTACTGTTAGATTTTGCTTTTGATGAAGCACTGCCCTGTGCCTCTCCTTTTTCATTATCATTCTTGCATGGATTTTAATTGCCTTGTTGAGCACACTGCCTTTAGCCTGTAATTTAATAGAAATGAATTAATAGCAGATAGTGTCAATGTTTTTACAATGATTCTTAACAGAGGCTATTAAGATAACATTTCCACCCCTTTATGAAGACAAAACCCTTTAAGAATGGATGTCATAAATGAGCTATAAATTTAATTGTTAGAACTTCATTAGCAACAATAGTAAAACTATCTTACTTGCCTCTTGGAAGCCTCTATTTAGAGAATTTATTTTGTATATCCTAGGAGGCACAGCTATAAAGCAATGAGAATGCTTTTAATTAAACATCTTAGACCACATATACCTAGTTGACACTTTTCCTACAAACCACAGGAACCAATGTGATCATTACAGGCATATCCAAAGCATTTGTTTTAGGAAATTGCCTTCTGAATCCATTTAGGAATAATACAAAAAGAAAAAAATCAATTTGTGTCATGCCTCTTTGGGACTGTAAATGGTATTAGCTATATATTAAAATGTGTTTTATTCAGTTGAATTTAGCTGTGGGTGACGCAAAGCTTCTCTGGAAATTAACCTGCCCTCAGAGGATGAAGATTCACCACTTGCACCAGAAGCCTTAGGGCCAGGAGAAGGCGTGAGGGACAATGAGCATCTGGCCTGGGTCCCAGGGGCTGGAGCTGTCTCTGAAGAGTGAAGAGGTGGAGGCTGCAGCTGCTCTGTTGCCTGCCCTCTTGGTTCGTCCCAGTTCCCACACAGCAGCCGTGGTGAGGGAAGCCTCGGGGCAGTCTCTGCTCATCTTCTCTCCTCTCAAGGCTGGGTCCGAACCGGTCTGGGTCCTGGGGTCATGGGGCTTGTGCCTTCCCAATGCCTTTCAAACTTTTGCATGTCACAAATACATAGAAAGTATTAGTGCTTGTGTAAAAAGCTACAACTGGAGGATATTTAGAAGCATCTGTATGGGGTTGGTGAAAATTTTCATGGCATGCTTCTGATGTAATGGTAAGTATTGAGTTTGTATGAAACTTCTGAGTAAAGTCTTTACTTTTTTTTAAATGAGCAGCTTGAATTTGTTTCCATGAACATGATATTTTATATTAGATTTTATGCATAAGATAACTCCTTCCAATAATTCCTTGGGACTTTTTAATGATGAGCTCTTCAAATTTTTGATAGTTATTGTGATTGACTTTGTTTGCATCTGAAGATAACAGAAATTTTAAGAGTAGTTTTACAACCATTCAAAATTTTGCAACATTTGAAATTATAACAAAAGGGAACCTGACTATTTTTCCTCTTGATTCATCAACAAAGAGAATGTTGACATTTCCTGTGATTAAGGGACTGGACTTTGAGCCCAGTGTAATGTTTTCAAATTAAGTGTATAAAATGAAGGAGCTCAGATTTACAGAGAGTACAGGCATCATTAGAGGCTTACCATACAGTGATAGCCAAAGGGTCCTGGGCGTTGTGAAGGATAGGAATCCTGCCAGGACTTCCTGTCTCCTCATTCTCCATTGGTCACACTGTGGCCCAGACTCCTCTGGCAGGATCCTTTATTCACTGGGCAGTGCTGTCTTTGCAGCTGAGGAAGCTGCCCAGGAGGGCACACCTCCTTTCACTACTCTCAGCTCACCCTATGCAGTCAGAGGAGCCAGGTGTAGCTTGTGATGCCTGGGCTCTTGGGCCAACAGAAGGCCTTAGGAAATCAGGGTTGTGGGATACACTAGTAACTGAGCAGGGCTCACAGCTGTGCTACAATCCCATGGCTGGGAAACTTTCACCGAGTTTGGGCCCAAGGAGTCCTCTCCATTCCTATTCAACAAACTCCTCAGGCAGCGGTGCACAAGGGCATCTTGGGTCAAAGCTCCACAGATAGCAGATGCCTGCCACAGCTTTATACCTGAGCCAAGCCCCCTCGGAACTCCGTGGGGTTAGCTACCGCCACAGGAAGTGGATGTTTTAGGGTTCTTGCCTAGGGTATCTGTTGCTATTGAGATGTGACCAACTTCTTTACTATTCAAAGTGGAATAAGAATTGTTTCAGATGTGTTTGGAACAACAGTGTTACTATAGATAGCTATGTTAGATAGAACTATTATATGCAGTCAGATAGGGATAGGCCCTCAAGGAAGTCAGTGCAGAAGATGAGAATAAAGACAACTGTGGCTTGAGGGGTATCTGTTGAAGGCCAGGCCTCAAGATAAAGATGGAATGGCCAGGCTACATTCCTCCTCAAGGGATAAGCAATAAATTAAGGATTATATTCTAATTGATATCACCTGGTCCAATAAAGTCGAGGTAGATATCAGTCCTCTAGATGGGTGACCAGGGCAAACTTCCTAAAATGGTCTTTGATCTTTCCATGTATACTTGCTACATGAACTGCTTCCCCATTGGATTGATATTACCTACATCATTAGACTTACAATCTTATTGGTTGATCATACCTTTGACCAACATTGTACCCACCTCGAGATTTTGTGCCCACATTGTGATTTTGATCTATAATACTTCCTTTGAGAAATGAGTTCAATGACAACTCACTTTTGGGTCCCCTCCTGTCTCTCAAGAGCTATCTCACCCAATAAATTTTTTCTACTCTTAACCTCAGTTGTTCCTTAGAATTCATTCTTCAATTTTGGGGAACACAAACTTGGTGTATCTGACATCTAGCAGGGTGCAAGTTATATTATTTCCCCTATATCAGTGTTACTAGAATAAGTGAATACTCACCTGAAGTGACCACTTTTAAAGGAATGGCACTCATTTGGATATTAAAGTTCTCATATTGGAATAACCTGTCTCTTCCTATCCTTATACATATTTCTCTTTTATCTACAATGGAGAACTCTGCTGAATTTCAGAAGCACTAGTTAAATGCTGAGGTGAGTCAATATGAAAGTAGCTTTGCGTG